TGTTTTACGATTATTTTATTTTTAATTAGTTCAATGTTGACCACGGTGTATGCAGAACACAATGCAGTATTCCGCGAAAGATACAAATGGTTTTCACCAAGTAGTTGCGACGGCTTGCATCTTGCATCCCTAGCATCCCATCAAATTCATCAATCTATATCTAATCAAATATCACTCGTCATTCACCCTTCATGATCACTCTGCCTTCAATGGATGGCAATAGCAAACCACCCTTTGTCCGGAGAACGACAACCCCCTTCACCATATAATAATAACTGAGCCATATATGGCATTCATTTGCAAAATTTCAGAACAAACATGTTATGATAAAAACAATACGAACGTGGAAAACTTCTAAGAGAGTATTTTCTTTCAAGCTATTTTGACCGATCAAAACCCATGTGAAGCTTTAAGAAAAATACGACAATCTTGTCAAATAATGTTCCATGATTTCATACTTTTATGCTTTTAACAACATATTCTCGGGTATAAGTTTTTTAAGGCGCAATAAAATGATTATTCCTTACTCCTGAAATTTTCTTCTTTTTTCTTTCCGAAACTCTTGAGTGAATTTCTCTATACTATTAGCAGTGCCAGTAGACGATACAAGAGGACGCATCTTTATAATGCTTTTGTGTGCAGAATTTGTGATTAAATTAGTCAAACCAAAGATCTAATTATAGAAAAAAGTGCACACAAATAAATAGTACAACTAACGTGACCCACCTACTCATTTTTAACATTGACTTCTGGAGAAACTGGGAATCGGCCACCCTTCATCCCAATTTTTCCTACGACAGTACAGTCAATTCATCATTTTGACAATTTGACACCGTGTAACCTCCAACAGCAGAACCTCCTTTTCTGAAACGCCGTGATCAACTCAGCTCCCGCAGCCTGACACATGGTTTTCTCATTAACTTCAAAGTATGCAATGTGACTCCGCAGTAGTTAAAAAAAAAGATGGGTGTTGGCGACCCCTGATTTAGCAGCACCCTTCCCCGGTAGCCCCGTCGCTTGTCCGCGTGCCAAGCTGCCATTACCTCCGCAGAGGTTCACAAAATTAATGACCATCCGCTCCGGCAGCATGTCGCTCGGCGGGCGAACGCCTGTCTCCTCCCTGACCGCTTTTGTCCCTTCTCAATTTCCCTGGGCGACGCGGCGGCGGCGGCATCTCGTGCGTTAAACGAAACGCAAGCACCTTATTAGTATTCATTGACTTTCCGCGCGCTGCCACGGAGGGAGACCGTTGCTCAGATGCGGACTTCTAGAAACAATGTTTTTGTTGTTGTTGTTGTTGTCGTGGAAACAAGATGGTTAAGTGATTTAGAGATGAGGAAGTACATTGAAACAGCACTTCTCTTGGAAGGCGTAAGATCCTTCCTGATTTTTTTCCAGTAGTTCAAATATTGAAAAAAAATCAGTCTCAAATAAGGATTAACCAAAATAGTATGTTCATCCAAGACGATGTATTTTCAGTATAAAACTTTGAATAGAAAAGGATGCATTATTATTGTAAAAAAATCTTCAAAAAATTCAATATCATATTCGACTTAGTTGTAGAAAAAATAATTTTCCACGAAAAATATATTTCGTTATTTGCAAATTAGGATTATTTATTATTCTCTTGCGTTACTGTTTACAACGTCCTCGTTTTATCATACCAGATAAGAAGAAGTATAACGCGGCGTAGTGATATGATTTATCTGGGAATTTTTAACTACTAATGTCTATGAATATAGTTCAAGGAGGGGAAATAATAAATAATTTTAAATGCTACTTCGATTATTAACATACATTTAATTCAGGATTTCTATTACTCATTCTATAACATATTCATTCAATATCATTTTAAAGAACATATTACGCATTCAGGCGATTAAACAAAATCGAAAAAGGCGAGAATACAACTGTTTAAATTTGCTTTTCATAAAACGTATTGGTTAGTATCTCGCGAGTGTAATAGTTTTTTTCAAAATATTTTTAACCTTAGTGACTTCTACTGCTTTAAAATAAAAAAAATCGTTCAACGATTTCTCTGCAGTAAAAACACCTCACAACTAAGACACGGTGCGGCTGTTTGAAATCCGGACTGGAGCAACCCGACGGAATCCCCCATCGACGACGCCTTACGAGGCGATGTCGGCGGGGTAGCGGCCAGGTAATCTCGGGTTACGTCCTCTGCTGGGCACTGTGAATACGCAGCCCTAATCACTCCCGACCGCTGCGAGGGGTTGCGCGAATACAAGGAAACGCGGTGGGGGGCGAGGACCGCGACCCTGCAAAAGCTCGCTGCGGCAACGGACGTGTTGTTGCGGATATGTGATTTTATTTATTCTCAACGACGAAAATTACGCGTTTAAGATAACTATTAATGGTTTTGAGGATACCGTTGTTCTTTATCGACGTTTTAATTCATTTTAACGTCATTTTTAGTAATGTTTCGTAAAATTTATTCATTTTATTGACGGGTGACCAAAAATCATTTATTTTACGTACAAGTATTGTTTGATGTTTTTGTTAAGTATTGCTTGTGTAATTTTTTATGAACACAGCGGAGCGACGGTGGGGTGCAGACGAGGAGAAGACGGGGCGAAGGCGGGGCGAAGGTGGGGTGAAGGCTGGGACGAAGGTGGGGACGAAGGTGGGGACGAAGGCGGGGACGAAGGCGGGGATGAAGGCGGGGACGAGGCGGGACGAGGGCGGGGAACGAGGGCAGCGGCGAAGGCGGGGCGAAGGCGGGGCGAAGAATGCGGCGAAGGCGGGGGCGAAGGCGCGGGCGAAGGGCGAAGCGCCGCGAAGGCGGGGAACCGAAGTGGGACGAAGGCGGGACGAAGGGGGGTGGACAAAGGCGGACGGAAGGCGGGACGAGGGCGGAGACGAGGGCAGGCGAAGGCAGGGCGAAGCGGGGCGAAGCGGGCGAAGCGGGGATGACAGGGCGGAGCCAGCGGAGGTTGAAAGACGGGAGATGGAGAGGAGGTGGAGCGAAGGCCGGGTGGACCGAGAGGAAGCGAGCCGGGGCGCCCCCATCATGGGTAGTGCGCGGAGCGAGGGTGGGGTCGGGGACGAAGGCGGGGGAGGGCAAGGGCGGCGGCGTTGCGCCGATGAGCGGAGGCTGGGCGCGGCGCCAGAGGAGCCGGGCGCAAAACACGCCCCCATTCATCGGTGGCGGCCGCGGAGGCAGCGCGCTCTAGTCCGCGGAGAAGCCGGCTTCGGTGCCAACTTCGCTATTCACCCGCCGCGCGCGGCCGCAGACGGGTGTTTTGCACAAAGAATCGACAGACTTTGCAAAACGCGCCCACGACTCGAATTATTTATCGCGTCGCACATTAGGATGAGACTCCGTTTCTCCTTAAAATGAGCATCATGAGAGGGCAACACTAGAGATGGCTATCTATTACTCACACGGTAAACAACACAATATTAATATGGCAATCTAATATACACTCAATATTTGCAGCTTATACTTGGAATTTTAATTCGATGAGACGAATCCAGAAAATAAATAAACGTCAGAATAAGTATTATTTCAAAATAAATATTACCGATTTCTCAATATCTTTTTCGCAAAGCATTTCTTGCATCTTCTTCAACAACTTCAGAAACAAAATCGCAGCTGCTTAGGAGGAATTGAAGATGAAATGTGAAAGTGAACATTTCGAACTTACGAACACTTAATCGAAACAAAATCGGAAGTAGAGATCGTCTTCGGTTCTGAAAGAAGAACATTTAAGAAATTCAATTTCTTCATCAGTCTTCTCTACTGAACGTTCGTCGCCTCATTGCCCGTATGTGGAACATAGTTTTCAAGAATATATATTATATGTTCAAGAAAAAAATATTTCTCTGTCATTATCACCAAGATTTGAACTAAATATTTTCACTTACGGTGTAATATCCTCGCTTTGAAACTATTTACATTGAAACTCTTAACATTGTATTTGTAACACATTTCATTGCAAACCAGTTCTTTTCTGTAATATTACAAGACAGTAAAACAGATTACGATTAACTGGAAAATGCACCACGACTAGTGACCAAGTACCACCCCAAAGTCGATAAGCACGAAAGTCGAGTGCTTAGTGGCTATGAAAGCACGGCCTGCTTGTTTTGGGCGCGCCCCGTTCCGGCCAACAGCCTCGCGTAGATGCTAGTTCTCTCCTCGCCGCGAGGGCCCATCCCGTCCTCCCGGCCGCCGCAGAGGACTTTATGCACCGCCCCGGACTCAATGCCGGCAGCGGCGGCTTCAAATCCCGAACTAACACAGGGCTACTAACGTGGGCCCCACTCACAATGACGGCGGCGGGCCGGAGTTGAACTGGCAGAGGGCGTTACGGTAAGGTCAGCGACGAAGTAGAGCGGTGGTGGCGTCGACGGGAGATAGTCGGGGAATGTAGCGTTGGAGTCTGTGAGCGAGGGTTGGGGGACCGGAGCAACGGTGGTGGGTGGGAGGGTGAGCTCGGTTAGAGGTGGAGACCGGACTGGGGTGCGGGCTGAGTCGAAAATGGATTTGGTGGCGGGACCTCCGGGATGGGGGTGGGGGACCCCAAGGGGTGGGGAAGTCCGACGGGTGGCTGGGACCCCGAGGGTGGGAACAGTGAGCGAGGAAGTAGGAGATTGTAGAAGACTGCTCATGGGCTCTCTCCAGCGGCGACGTCGGCGGTCGGGATGGAGTCGGAGTGGGAGAGAGAATCGGGATGAGCCGAGGGGTTTGGCGGCGCGAACTCGGAGGCGGCGGGAGGCGGGGCAGTCTGCAGGAGGCTTCTCGAGGGATTCTTCTACGGCGAAGGCGTTGGAGGCGTGCGACGCGGAGACGGGTCAGGCTGGCGGGGCGATGGTGACACGTGGTGGTGGCGCAGTATTGATGGTGTGGCTGCGCTAGCGTATGAACCGGAGTCGGGGGGGGCGCATGCTCAACTGAAAGGGGAGGCGAAGACGTAGCCGAGGTGGAGTAGGCAATGCCAGGATAGATGGAGGCAGAGACGCCAGCGAAGTCGCAGATGGTGGAGGCTGTATCGAAGGCAGTGGCGGGGACACTGGTAATGGAGGCAGAGTTGAAGGCACATCTTCAGCTGAAAGGGGAGTCGAAGACGTAGAGGGAGTCGAAAGCGAAGACGGAGGAAAAGACAATGACGGAGAATAGATGGTGGCAGGGACGCCGGCGAAGACGAAGAAAGTGGACGCTGCATCGATGGCAGTGGCGAGGACTGTGGCTGCGGCAGCAGGCGTGGAGGCTGATTCGCTGCTAAAAGGAGAGGAGAAGACGTAGGCGGAGTCAGAAGCGAAGCCGGAGGCGGAGGAGAAAGCAATGTTGGATAGGTGGATGCAGAGAATATGACTCCGCCAGGAGGCAGAAGTGGGAGCACATGCCCATGTGAGGAGAGGTGAAAACGTAGGCGGGGTCGGAAGAGAAGGCAATGACGGAGGATAGGTGAAGGCAGAGACGCCGGTGAAGACGGGGGGGGGGCAGCGGGGGTCGGCGGAAGAAGCCGGGTTATGGCGGTGGAGATTCTCTGGCGCTCCGCAATCCCGATGGAGTCGCTCCGCGTCAACTTTGGCGCCGCGCCACAGCCATAGCGCAAACCAGCCCCGCCGGAGCCCGGGGCGGCCGAGGGGTGAGGCAGAGCAGGGAGGAGCGGGAGGGGACGGGTCGGGACGGAACGCTTCACAGGCGTATTTGCAAATCCCGAGTCGGTTAAGCCATCGGGATGTTTTGTCTTTAGGCCGCACTATTCAGAGATATACTGAAGTGGTGTGGACCCAGCGACGATGTAGGCGTTAGAAGTGAACAAACGTTTTTGTTTCGATTTGCGATGTTTATAATATTTCAAAGAACGTAGTTTTACTTCTGAGTTACCTCATATTTATTCATTCTTCATTGATTCGTAATTTCGTCATTATTTAACAGTTTCGTCTATATTCATTAATCAAATGTCTGGAATAGTTTTACCACTCTTTAATCGCATTTTCTCACAATATTCTCATATTTCTGTTGACTCTCCTTTTTATTACCTTATTTCATTTTTCTTTATCTTATTTTTTTCATTTCCCTTTCCTAACTCTTTATAATTTCCTTTACTCTTTTCCTTATAATTGTTTTTCTTGCGCTTCCATATTTTTTCGTGTATACGCATTTAACATTAATGACGGCTCTTCAGAGGTCGAGGTGCGAGGTTCCGGAAGCGGTGGTTTCTTGGAGGCAGAGCTGCGTGTCGTTGTCGTGCGTGTGGCAAGTGCCGCGTCGTTCTCCCTGACCGAAGATGATTCCACTTTACGACTCTGCGACCATCCAAATAACGACATCGTAAACGAAAAGTTGGGTTTTACTCGATCAAAAACAGTTCCCGGCGTTCGCCAAACATTTGGAGCCGCTATGTGCAATAACATGGCATTCCATCGATCATGTTTTTCGTCTTTATTGCCCTCTTTGAAAAGTCGGGTCAAAGGAGGTTTTTCCACGTCGCGGCGTAAACAAGAAAATGAACTTAAATGAACTTTAGAGGTTGTATAAATCATGGAATTATATTTCGACACATCAAAATAAAAAATTATCGCAGACTTACACCAATATTTGAAAGTCCCTGGAACAAAAGAAGGTCAACGTATTATTAATACCTTAGAACTATATCTAGTCATTATAGATCAACATCAATAATGGAAATATCGTCGTATGATAAAATAAATGTGTTTCGCATAGTGTCACGTTTCTGCTTTGATAGTGTACACAATTATACCATATGAATATAATAATATTTTAATAAAAATGTACAAACTCAAATAGCTTCACAAAATTCTTGCTTTCACATAATTAATAAATTACCATTTGATAGATTCCAGAAAATTGATAGATTACAAAAAATTGTTACAAATTGTATTATTTCCTTTTTTCTTTGCAGATCATTAATTTCGTTTTGTGGCTTATGCAAACCGAACCAGTATATTTTACTTCTGTTTAGGTATATACGTAGATAGATATTTATTATTTCTGCAAGTAGGATTTTTGAAACCTGATTGCAGAACGCTACACTTTACACGCATTACTTTTAAGAATACTTATACATAAATACAATATATTATAAAATTTGTTTGAAAATTTCCAAACTTTAAACACGCGGTGTAAGCTTGCGGGCTGCATTTAGCCATACATTTCACCAGAAAATGGAAATATTAATAATAATAAATAATATAATAATAATTAATTTTATTTATATTTAATAATAATTAAATACTATAAAAAATTTATAATACATTGTAATATATTTTTATATTATTATTATTCCATTTTCTTGTGAATGTATGGGTAAATGCAGCACGCAAGCTTTCACCACGTGTTTCATGCAACATTTAAAAAAATTATAATATATTGTATTAATATATAGTATAATTTTAAGAAAAGGTCAGAGAGCCTATTTCCTTGGTGTGTTGCTGAGGAAACTAACACCCTTTCTTTCCCGTGGCGTGTTGCAGGCTGCCAGTTCTACCCGGCGGGCGAGTACTTGCGCTTCGTGCGCGTGCCGGAGAACGTGCCCGTGGGCGGCGAGGTGCTGCAGGTGGAGGTGCACCCGCGCCGCAACCTCACGCTGCAGCCCGTCGACAAGGTGAGCCACGCCCCGCACACACACCCGTGTTTCTGTTTCTTCCTTGGAAAAAGGTTCCACTGATTTATAGGCAATCGTGCATTTAAGTTGGAGTGAAGTTTAACAGTTCGTTAACACAGTTTATTTAAAAAAAATTATTGAATGTACACGACGTTTTGGAGGCTTTTGCTTCTCCATGGTCAATTGAGAAATACATCACTAAAAGAAGAAAAAATTACCTAACAATTACAACTGATTAAGTTATAACATATTTTTCATATGTTTCAAATACTAACATATGTTTCTCATGTGCACAATTTTAATTATTTTATGTAATCAGTTGTAATTGTTATGTAATTTGATCTTATTTTAGCGATGTATTTCTCCCCTGAGACGAAATAGCCTCCAAAATTTGCTACCAAAGAAGAAATCCTGTAAAGAAAATTTGCTCCCGAAAAAATAGAATACTTGGGTAGAAAAAATGGAATAATAGGGTTTGTTGTAGTAATCGTACTCCAAACTAGAAATCAACTCGCATTTCACTAAGAGACCGTAATGAATCGTCCTGTGTGCCACTGCTTTCAAGAAGAAGCAGCTAAAATTTCAGTGCAACATGAAGCGATGTATGAAACGGAAATGTGTAGCTACCATTCCTGAACCTTTCACTTTTACCTGAAAGAGTAGAAGACTAGTTACTTTGTGCAATACCTCTTAATACCTATGAACATTAACACACAATTGTTCTATTCAAAACAAGATAGTAAAAATAGGATCATGGAACTCTCAATTCTTAACTTTAAATTATAAATATATCATAATATGAAATGGCATAAATAAATAATTATGGGCTAATCTTGTGATAGTCAGTACTCGATACCTCGATCTTCGACATGAGTATTCTTATTTGTTGTCAAATAATACTTTTATTCACAAATTACTGTCATCCATTAGTGTTACCCGATCAGAACGTTTTCAGTTCTTTCCAAAGAATATACAAGAGTTTCATCTAACTCGCCCATAAAAATAATACTCCACCGAACCCGTTGCGTGCTATTCGCAAAACCTGTCCTACTATTAAAGTCTAATAGACATACTTTTATTTTCATATAATTCTCTTGTCGTTTAAATACACGTTTTCATTCCGTAGACCCAAATTTATCATTGCTTTTCGATATGCCGATTTTTTAGTAATTTGGACTAGCCCCTTGAATGTTGGTCTTCCTATTGTCCTTGTTGGCATTGTATCAAAATTCACTTTTGTCACAAAAAAGAGCATTAGGGGATGGGTAATGCAAATGTGATTACAAAAGAGCGTAACTGACCTTTCCTACCCAGTGATTCGGAAGTATTTAATTATTTAACCTTCAGGAACGAAATGTCAAAAGCATAAATTATGCATTAGTGCACCACGTCAGAGAATATGGTAGTAACTCTCCTTTATGGATGAGGCATTATCGAGTAAAAACTTTCAAATACTGAATAGAAAGTAAAATAAAAGTGAGTACAGGCTTATTGAATATAGCATTAGAGTTTTGTATAGGTATTGTGAAAGATAACGTTACAAATGGAGATAAAGAAAAAGGGACTGAAGTCACAGATGAGAAAATGGTTTATTGTAAAATATTGCTAATATTTCTTCTGGCTAATGCCAATAATAATGATAATAATAATGACAATAATAGTTATAATAATAGTAATAATAATAATAATAATAATAATAATAACAACAACAGATGGTCTGCAGCAGCAAAAATGTTGCTATACAAAACAACACAAAAAGGTTTCAAAAATCGTTCTGTCTAAATAACACGCACCCTGCTCAAGAACAACAAATAATATGCCCTTTATTGCGTGAATTAAATGTTTTAACAGAAACAGTCATCACTGAAACCAGTGCTATGAAGATAGTACCAAAAAAAGAAAAGTGAACCATTGCTAGAAGAAGAAAATAAAACACGAAAAATATTCACGAACACATATACAGTTCAATAGCTTGTTACATACCAAGAATATAAAAAAATGCGGTTCTATAACGCAACAGGTTGTTAGCAAATATTTAAAGACGATCTGACTTTCTTGGAGCCTTGCTGTCGCATGACGTAACCTGTGACGTATTCGGTGACGAACTTAGTGTGACCATTCTGTCGGTACGCGAAATATGAGAATAGGCATAATAATACAATCAAATACTTGCATTTTTAACTCAAAGTCCAAACTGGTTCAGTGATGTATTTTTTTTCAAGTTCTTGGGTATCTAAGAAAACAATAGACACCTCTCACATGGCCGAAGGTTGACTAGTTTGATTCCATTTGTGCGCGAATTGGGAATTAATAAAACAAATTATAATATTATAAATAATTAAATTTGTATTTTTACAGTAATCGATTACAGTTTTTCAATTCACTTTCCTCAATATGAGACATTGCTTTTCTACAATGATTCTATGTACAGAAATTGGTATTTTGACAGCCTTCTCTGCGGTACCCCATTGTTTACTAAGGTAAGCTTTGCAAGTCCATTTGGTCATTGTCCACAGGCGGAAGATGCTCGCTTCTTCACGGTGCAAGCAGTAAACAGCAACGTGGTCTCAGTGTTGCTGGCGCGACCGCTAGAGGCGTTAGTAGACAGCGAGAATCCACAGAACGTTCTGAAGTTCAGACTCGTCTGTGATTACAACGACGATGAAGACACGGTGAGTCATCTGATAAAATTTGATAATGGTGTCATTTAGCAAAATCTTACTGTGGCAACTTATCAATAAATGGTTAATTATTAAATTCCCAAATAACATAAATAACAAATAGATGATTTATAACTTACCAAAACTAAATATCAAAATAGATATTCGAAAAATGTAAGGGAAGGCTCGCGCCAGCTTAAGACAATTGCAAAGAGCCTTCTAACTGAACACGAAACACTTCTTAAAAATATGTATTTCCTTCGTCTTAGTTTTTTGTTTCCTACAGTCCCACGTCAGGTGTACTTAGTCAATACTTATTTTATGTTTTTGTTTCTGTCTGTAAATTCAGCAGATTTCTTCGTACCTTTCGGTGACTGTGTACGTTGAGGACATCAACGATCACGCTCCAGAGTTCGTGGACGCACCGTACCATGTCACTGTGGACGAGCTTACGCCCACAGGTAAGTTAATCTACGGTACCACTTCTTTTCCCAACACATATATAAGCACATTTCTAGAGCTCCAGAATACTTGCCCCTACTCCTTTACTAATATTAGTTGAATTCAGAATAAAGGAGTTTGTTGACAAAATCTGATAATCAGAAATGTTCAAAATGTTAATGTATCAAAAAAACGAGCTACATATTTGATATAATAGTCCTGTCGTCGACATATGCAAGCTCCCACTCCTTTCGCTTCTAGCAAAACTGAGAGCTCAAGAAAACGTGCGCGAATAATACAAAAATTTAAATCTTTGAGCGCCGGCTTGGTTTTAGATTGACCCCCTTGCAGTGATATGGCTATATTACAGCACGCATAATATTGATACTCATAGACCCAACGATGCTTCTCTCTACTAAGGGTATTGAATATATCAATGATACACCTAACAAAACACATTGTGCAAATAAATGATCCGCAAGTTACAACTATAGATTCAAGAATCAAAAAGTACATTCATCATCCAGTAAAAGATTATCTCCAAACCATCACAAACTAGAACGATATTGAATATAATACAATTGTGCATCATGAAATAACTTTCAACTTTTCGCCCAGTTCGGTTTTTGTTTTCCCAGCAACATAACTGTATTGTATTCTCGCACGTTAGACTGTAAAAAAAATTAGTCATTTCTAAACTAATAGAAAATTTGAAAACAAAAATAACGCTTGAAAGTACTTTTACACAAAAGGACCTCTGAGAAGGGTAGGATGCCCTTCATAACGATACAGGCGCTCAAATTGTTATCACTGCACTTCCATATTTATAAAATTGGAGTCTTAAGTATGAAACTAATGTTGTTTTTTGTTGTTGTTTTTTTCAGGTCTCACTATTTTCCGCGGCATTCACGCTGTGGACCGTGATAAGCCCAACACGCCAAATTCCGACGTCCAGTACACCATCGTGTCCGGCAACGAAGAAGGGAAGTTCGGCTTGGAGAGCAGCCATCGCGCAGCGCTGGTTCTGCGCAAGCCCTTGGACTTCGACCTGGGAGACCGCGAGTTCGAACTCGAGCTCATGGCTTCCGTACGTTTGCCTATCACTTGTTCTTTTTAATTTGTTGTGTCTACATTGATGCAATGCGCCTCGAAGCCCCTGGGGGGGGGGGCATTGAGCGCTTTGTGCTTGGGAGTAATTCTCCGTTTTAGTGTGCTAAGCCTTCATTACTTGTGTGTCGTTATATCACGTCTCGTCGCCAGTTGTCAAGAGGAACGCCAGGTAGTATCTCCGCGTACGTGCCTCCTACTACGCGCTCCTGCGTCACTATCCAGCGGCCAGAAATGGGGAAGGAATTAATATTGGGGAAGTGTTTAGGACACTTCACAAGGGTTGAACTACCCTATGTGAAGCAGTTAAACTTTTTTTGTTGGAACTTTACGTGAAGTCGTCTTTGCTCTGAGCCACCAGATGACCTGGATTTCTGTGGTAAGGATACATTTTGAGGCTCTCAAACCCAAACGATCTTAGCAAATGAAGTGTCAAATGAAACAGAATTTCACGGAGAGATGAATTGCACTTTCATGTAATAAATGTTAATAGTCTATTTGTTGAGAACATGACTAATAATTATACAGTGGTTTTTTGGAATACTGTTGCAAAGCTGTCACTGTATCAAAAAAATCCTTATTTCTCTTTGTTTTTAATTTAATAAAATTAAATTTTTAAACTCTGATTTTTTCGTTTATTTTAGAAAGTATTAGAACCTTTTGAGTCGCAACACTATTGTACAGACTATCTTAATCATTTGGGTGTAATAGTAATAGTAATTTGGAAAACTCAACTCGAAATACAGCTGTTCCTTAAAACTTTGTTTACAAATGTAACGCTAAAATATAAATACAACACTACAGAAGAAAATTGAGACTTATCTCTTCCGCGGTTTTGTGGCGACTTCATAGTTGCAACATTAATCCCAAAAGAAAATGCAGATCTCTGCCCGTGAAATAGCGATGTGTCTTCCACCCAACGACTATTTGTGTATTTAAGACGTTTTCCACATAAAAAAGTTTATATTGTGCCATTTCACCTTCAAATCCAATTTTCGCTTTTGTTAGTAACAACAGTATTCAAGAGAAGCGACGAGACGCAAATGCAATCCCGCAACACACGGCCCGCTTAACGGTCTGTTTCTTGATATCGACTGTGCACATCTCAGAAACGGTGCAACTTCGGTTCTTCAAACGTGGTTTTCGGCGGCTTCGAGTTAAAGCTCTCACGTTGTAAGCTACAAAATGACGTTTTAGGCCCTTCTATTACAGTTTGAGGGGTTCGACTAATCTTAGGGGCGTCAGTATCTCTAATATAGACACGTACAGTATCTCAAATTCTATTAAAAAATGTTTTGCGAACACGTTTCCCCTTCATGCGGATGTTATGAGGGAGGGAGAGAAGAGTTTCCACACACGAGAGTTCTTACACGGAGACGTTAGTTGGACACTTTTATCAAAAAAATTAGCTGAGTTGTCTAAGGGCAAGAATTGCTGCTACTGCAGCAACTCTGCTTGGAAGGACCTAAAATTCGAGTCCCGACGGATGCGGATTTCGAGTAAAGCTGGGTCTAATTCAGCCGCTGTCTGGAGAAAAAAATGTTTGCGGTCGGCTGCTCTGATCAATAGTTTTCAGTGGTTTGTCTAATCAACACCAGGTGAATACCGGAGCAGTACCCTAACAAACGGGCCACGGATCGTGCGTCAGCTTTCGTTTCTCAACCTTTTCCTCTCCTCCTATACACGCACACTCACACATTTACATGCGCTACACTAGCTCAGATATTGGGAGACCGGTTGGAAGTTTGTCCCAACTGAAGCGGTCTCTGGTCGGGGATTCCCCTCCCCCCAAAGCCGCCGTGTACGTTGGCGCCGGATCTCGTTCTAGCTGGGAGGGACATTGTGGTATGACTTGGATGTATTTAATGACTATAGCAGTTGACGTGCCCGAAAACACAAACTATTCTATCAAAATAATAATGTTAAGTGGATGCATTAAATGTCATGAAAAGGGTGTTCAGAATGTGTCGGTATCATCTTGAAATTAATTTTCTACACTTTCACATTACTATCATATTTTTTATTACTTATATTCACCTTGTTTATTAAATGATTTAATGTATTTTGCAGGATCGAGGTTCACCGCCTCGTAACTCCACGACTACAATTACAGTTGTGGTTTTGGACAATGATGATCTCAGTCCTAAGTTTGCCAGAGACACATACAGAACTCAAGTGACTGAGTTCTATCCATTAACTGTAAGTATGCTGCAAATTATTAATGTTATAATCCAACAATTAACCAGTTTTTTTTAAATAATACATTATTCTTGTTCTGCATTTCAAGGTTTTGATTATAATTGTATAAATACAACCATACTTTACATAATTACAATTAATCTGTAGTTCTTACATACCTTACTTCTATTGTTTCAGGGAGAACGCATTCATCAAGAACTGAAGTTCAATCCTCCAATCCTTGCATTTGATCAAGATTTAGCATTAGATGTGCCTGTTAGATATGATATAATTGCAGGAAATGAACGACACTTATTTACATTAGATGCTCAAAACGGATCACTCTTCCTAGAACGAGAGATAGATTTGGATAAAGAAAAGAACTTGCCAGGAAATACATTTGTACTTCAAATTCAAGCCTCTCAAGTAGACAACCCTTTAAAAACTGGAGTAGCTAGAGTTGAAATAGAAGTTCTTGACCTGAATGATAATTTACCAGAATTTGAAGTTGATCTGTATAACATAAGTATTGTAGAAAACCTACCCAATGGATTCAGTGTTCTTCAAGTTATAGCCACAGACAAGGATCAGGTCAGTGTTTGAAAGAGTTTTTATAAATGTAGTCAGCACATGGGAAATAGTAATATAACAATTCATTTCTATTGCAGGGAGATAATGGAGAATTCAATTATCAACTGAATGATCCAAGCCAAGCATTTATAATAGATTCCAGAACTGGATGGTTGACAGTCCGTGATCAAGGAATGTTAGACAGAGAAAAACAAGCTTCATTAACTATGACTGTTCTTGCAAAGGAGAAAGTTCCTAGTGTTGTTGCAGCACGATCCAATAACCATTCGAATGGAGATTCTTCTTCTGTTACTGTGGAGGTTACTCTTCTTGATGCAAATGATAATAATCCCATGTTCATTCCAAGTAACCTCTATGAATTTAAGATAAAGAGTGATGCAAAAATTGGTGATGTTGTTGGAAAGGTTCGTTTACTTGAGGTTGTCGTTAAAATTTTCTGTAATTCAATCGCATTTTCCCTCTTTTCTAACAAAATTTTAATTTCCTTTGTTTATAGGTGACAGCCATAGATCCAGACTTAGGCCGCAATGGCATGGTATTGTATGACTTGCAGCGAACTAGTAATTTTTCTTCTGGCGTTTCTCCTCTTCCTTTTGCGGTGGAAGCTCAGAGTGGTCAAATAGTAGTTATTGACACTCCACTCATTGAAGGAAGACATGCTCTCTTCATTGAAGCTTCTGATCAGCCTGCAAACCCTAGTGAAAGAAGATTCTCATTAGCAGTAGTGACAATAGAAGTCATACACACAACAGTTGCAGGTAATTGCTTTACCCCTCAATTTTTTACACTTACAGGCCAATAACTAAAAGCTCCCAAAATTTCGTGTAAACAAGCATATTCTCAATTGAAATCAATTCTAATATAAATATATTTAAGTAGGGGATAACTTAATTTCATTATACAAAATTCTTTTAAAAAATTCATGAAATTGGAGGTTTGGATTACAAAAAAAATTAAATTTCAGACATTTTTCTCTATGTTACTATTAGTTTAAACACATGTCAAAGAAAATAATATTAATTATATTGTATTTTGCCCACTATAGCTCATCATCACACAGAGCCTGATTTTATTGGTGCTCCTTATGAATTTTGGGTTGGTGCAAATGTTGCAATAGGAACAAGTGTAGGTCAAATTCGTGTAACAGATGCTGTGGATAAAAATCATATTATTTACGACATGTTACATAGTTATCATGATGGTGGTAAGTATATTTTGTAATTCTTTGGAAGTGTATTATATTCTAAATAAAATAAAAGTGAGTGAACTTACAATCTTCACTAATAATTTCTTTCTTTTATTCAATCATGAATTTTTGTGTTAAAAATTTGAAAAGAACAAAAAATTAAATACATCAGATTCTCAGTGAAATAATACCCCAATTCTAATGGAAATTTCTCTTTATGATGACATCAAGATGCATCTTATTGTATTAAATGACCAAATCTTCTTTTCTCAGTGTATTATTTTATTGACAACCATCAGCAATACACAAACAGTAAAAAGCACTCAGTTCTCATATCTATACTGCTGATGGTACTTAATAGGATAATATATTTATGTTTGCAGATATTAATGTATAATTAATTCTTTTTGCAGTGCCATTTGCTGTAGAAGAGCGATCTGGAACTATTACTGTAGTTGAGGAAATGGATAAATTTAAAAGAGTTTTATATGACTTTGAGGCTGTTGTAACCAATGGGCAAGATTTAACATTAGTAACAAATGTTACTATTCATGTAGTTGATTTGGAAAATGATAAAGAAGTTGTTTCGAAGTAAGATACTTTCTATTTTGGGAATTGTATTTGGATGTAAAAATACCTTAATTAATGATATATTTGAGCAAATATTCAAATAAAGGTTTTTATTTCAATCATGTATTAATTAATGTAAATATTGTAACTAATAATTTCAGGAAATCTGGAACAACTCTTGAATTTAGAGTCCATGAAAATTTATCTGGAGCACTTGTAGGGCAATTATTGGGTCACAATAACACAACAGATCCAAATCGTTGGAAGTTATTACATTTCATCATTGCAAATCAACAGGATGTTGCTGATAAATTTGCCATTTCACAAGATGGATCTATTTACACCCAACAAGGTCTTGATAGGGAAGAACAAGATGTTTATAGACTTACAATAATAGCCCAAAATGATCGTGGAATCACACGGGGAGATGATTTATATCAGGTTTGTTATTGTACATTCTGCACACTATATTGTAAATATGATGATGATGATGATGATGATGATGATGATGATGATGATGATAGTCAGAGCTCAATTTGTAGTAAAATAAGGTAGGGAGTTCAAAAATCACAATACTTTACTATTCAAGACATTCACTTCTGTAACTCTTATATTCTGTATAATGATCTGTAATATCTTATGAATAATATATTTAATGACAATGGTATAAGGATAACACTGATATAAATAAGATTATTGAATTTGTGTAAAGCATTAAACCAATTGAAAATATAATGTATTTAAATTTTCCTTACATAAAAAGAAAGAGAGCACTGCTCACTTTAGCACCCCTGACAATTAAGCACTAAAATAATAATAATAATAATAATAATAATAATAATAATAATAATAATAAAAAATAACAATAAAAAACATGTATTGTACCATTTTCATTATAATACAACCTTATGTAATTGAAAATTTAATGAAAGATAGAATTAGATTAAATATGATGTGAAATTTTCCATTTAAAAATGTTATCCATATAAAATGTATCTTTGAATATGGTCTGTTAATTTATAGGTGAAAATTCAAGTGGAGGATGAGAATGATAATGCCCCTTTATTTGACCATGATTCATATGAAGGTCAAATTAAGGAAAATTCCCATAGTAACACAGATGTTATCCTCAAACATCCTATCAAAGCATCAGATCGAGATACTGGCGAAAATGCTGTATTTTCATATAGTCTGCATGGTGATGGTAGTGATATTTTTGCTATTGATCAGACTGGCAGAGTTTATTTTAAAAGAGGAACAAATCATTCATTAGACCGTGAAAATAAAGCACTCTACACTCTCACAATTGTTGCTCAGGACAGAGGTAAAACAATTTACTTTTGTACTCTATGTTTAATACACTGTTTATTTACTACCATTTCTTATTGGAAATTTTCTTTTTAGGAAATCTAAGTTCAGAAGCAAAGCTAACAATTCATGTTGAAGATATAAATGACAATGCTCCAACTTTCACACAGTTGATAGTTCTTCATGATAAAGATGTGGAGATAGCTGAAAATGGAACCAATGGATTTTTAAATTTAAAAAATGCTACTGGATCAGATGTGTATAATATCTCAAACAATTATAATAACCAGAACAACAAAAAGCATACTCTTCCTCTGATAATGATTCCAGAAAATATTTCATTAGGAACAGCAATATTGAAAATGGTGGCTGTTGATAATGATCTAGGAAAGAATTCAAAGGTCACATATGCTATGGTGTCTGAGTTTCAATTACCTAGCAATGCTCATACAACAAACAAGCTCCAAATGTCAAGAAATTACTTCATGGTTAATCCATCAAGTGGCGAGCTCTCAGTTGTAAAGCCATTGCCATCGGAGTCTGAATTCCATTTAAACATTACTGCAACTGATGATGAAGGCCTGTTTGATAGTATCACTCTACGAATTTTTGTGAAAGATGTTAATGACCACACACCATCTTTCAAGAAATCATGGTACAACTTTGACCTCTTTGAAGGTCATTATTACCAACATCCATTAGGAAAAATTGAAGCAACTGATGAAGACTATGGAGATAATGCAAAAATAAAATATTCCATCTTGAAAACTGATGACACAACACCCTTCCCATTTACAATTGGACCTTTAGATGGTGTTTTACAAGTAACAGGAGAAGTGGATAGAGAAAAACATGATGCTTATAAATTTAGTGTTCAAGCAATAGACAATGGACCTATAACTAATCGCAAACAAGCAACAGTAGATGTAGAAATACATATTTTGGATGTAAATGATAATGCTCCAGTCTTTTATGGGCATGAAGAGATTTTAGAAATAGCCCATAGAAGAGGTGAAGGAGAAGCATTCTTGAATTCTGACACAACATCTTTACCCGTTTACTATTCTGCTGTAGTTGAAAATAGCCCAATTGGAACATTTGTTTCAAAAATTCTTGCAAATGATTCTGATTTCACTGGTAATGGAAATGGTCTTCTGTTATTTGACATTCCTCGTCAACTGAATCCTGATAGTTCTGATTTATTTACAATAGATTCAAAGGAGGGTATCATAACTACAATAGGAAAATTAGACTATGAAAAGCAACAAGCTCATAACATCACAATTGTAGCATCTGATCTAGGTAAACCAAGCTTGAGCTCCACAGCAATTTTAACTGTCTCGGTTATTGACATTGCTGATGAAACAGAAACAATTGCAAGACCTATGTTTGCTCATCGATATTATGAAGTTGAAGTTGAGGAAAATAGTGCTGTGCCTGTCCCCTTACTAATTCTGAATGTTACTGAAACATACCGAGGCATAAACCTGAAGTTTAGTATTGAAGAAGGAAACGACAGTAAAATGTTTGAAGTAGATCCAAATAATGGAACACTATATTTAGTCTCCAGTCCTGATAGAGAGAAGAAATCCAGATTAGAAGTTAAAGTGAAAGCAGAGAGTGTGAAAAAAGGCAGAGCACTTCCTGTAATGTTATATCCTGTTCATCCAGACAGATTTGCTGATCTTGGTGAGTAGTTAGAATAAGATAAAAATAAAAAGTTAGCGAATATCTAAAATTCTCAAATTTTCTCAGATTGTTTCACAGCTTAATAACAATGAGCAATTATAATAAAAAAACTATTTAATTTTGCAGCTCCCAATGAGGTAAAAATCATAGTTCATGTAAAAGATGTTAATGACAATCCTCCAAGATTTCCTTCAAATGGTCGACCCATAGTAGCAGCTATTCCAACTACTGCTAATTATGGCTACCAAATTCTACGTTTACAGGTAAAACAACATGAATGCCACCTTTTATTGTACTTATAACTAAATTAGAATAGTAATCTCATCTTGACATTTATTTTAGGCTTATGACAAAGATGAAGGGTTAAATGCTGACATTCGGTACCAAATAATGGGAAGAATTGATGATGAATCTCACAAATTTACTATAGATCCTGTGACAGGGCAAGTTCGTTCAATTGTCAGTTTTGCTCGAGATGCAGGACGAGTATATGGATTTGATGTAAAAGCAACTGATAAACAAGGAGCAGATGATGGAAAATCATCGATTGCCAATGTATTTGTAAGTTTCCGAGTAGAAATATTTTTCTTCTTTTCATTAGAAGGTACAGATAAGATCTATTTAATGTTCATATTTGAAAATAATTTCGAAAAAACTTACATCAATATAGTACATTTTATTAATATAATTTCTTTAAAAACAGGTTTATGTATTGGATGAAGAGAAACAAGTGATAATGGTGATGGGATCTAAGCCTACAACTATTGAAAGAAATATGAAAAACATTACTTCGTGAGTATATTTTCTGAAGTAATGCTCTAAACTGAAAAAATTATTTTGAAAGATATAAAAATGTAATTCTTTTTTCAGAGCTCTTTATAATGCTACGGGTTTGGATGTAAGAATACGAAAACTTGAGCCCCATACAGAGAGAGATTTTGATGAAGGAACTGCGTAAGTATTGGGAACATTTCATATTTTGGAAAATCATATAAATAATAAAATTGATTTGCTAATAGACTTCTACCAAGCCTTGTCAATACAATACAGAATACATCACAATATAGTATTTTTTCCTAGTAATAAATAACAATAAAAGTAGGTACTTTGACTAGTATTAAATTGAATATAACTATAGCACAACAATAAAGAATAAAATTATACCACATTCTTTGCAAATTAATCATGTATATATCTTCTCTACCAAATCCTTGATTTTATAAGGGCATGCCATAATAAGGTAGTCTACTAATTTAATTCTGAAGCGACTTTAATTTGCTTTTTAGTATTGCATTGTAAAAGGGATCATTGTTGCTACTTTAGAATTGAACATCCTGTGGTAGTTTTCGTGTTCTCAAAACTGTTGAATTTATAAACTTTTATTCAAATTTTAATAAATGATTTTAGCTATTCTGATTCTGACTCAATATTTCCTTCATTATGTGTTTTTTTAATTTAATAGTAGCCTATGGTTGATTGCTTGAACTCTAACATTTTTAACACAAACATTCTGTACACATAGTATTAAAGATTAAATAATCAATTGTCTCATTTTTCAGAACTGATTTATACCTTTATGCTGTCGACCCATTAATGAATGCTATCGTGGATATGGATACATTGCAACAGTAAGTTTATCCTTTTCTTGGTGTATTGTAAAAGTTAACATTTTTCATTTTCTTTTCAAATTTACAATTTTTCATTTCTATTTTTATGTTTAAAATGTTTCATTTTCAATTTTATAACAAGAAGAAAACATTTTGTAAATTTACAATTTTCTACTTTTCATGATTATTATTCCTAAAATACATAGCAATCAATGCAACTGTCAATACAATGTCAGAATACTTCCTACAAAGTTGTTTTAAAAAGAATTCTTTATTTGTTTCAGTGTATTCAGTGCCAAACAATCAGACATAAAACACCAATTGGAACGATATAGAGTTCTTGACATTACAAATACAGCTTCTAGTGTGGTTAAATCAAGAAGCCAGCGTTATTTGCTCTCATCTCTTGAAGTGGGTGTTGTTGTACTTGGATGTGTGGTATTCATAGGAGCTTTAGCTGCTGCTATCTGTGTTGGCTGTGTACGGCGGGGAAAACAAAAGTACGTTTATAATTACCATTTGACTCGTGTATTTCTAGTGCTTGATTCCATTCAAGTTCTCTTGTTATTCTTTTCACAAAATGCTACTAACAAACTTTTCTTAATAAATTTCTGCTTCCTTATTGCAAACACTCAAGATTCAGGAAATTATCTACTTTAACTGGTCAAATTTAATGACCAAGTGTGAGTATAACACATTGCAGAATTCTCTTTTTATCATTTCTAGATTTTAGTAATAAATCATCATCAGTTTAACTAAAACATAGTTAAAAGGGTCAGCCAAAATAAAATATTGTCCATTAGTGGGCAGTCAGAATCAATTTATCCTTCTTAAAACTTGATCTCAAATCATTCAAACAAAGTAAATTTTGTGTACTAAAATCTTCAATACTTAAAAACAGAAATTACATTTTCAAAGATCAATAATATCAAAGACCAATAAATAGAGAAGAAATAGAGAATATTAAACAATTATTGTAATCTCTCGATGTCACAGTGTTGATTGGCTAATAACAATCAGCATCAAGTCTTAGATCAAGACAACAGTCTTAAATCTTAATCAAAGTTGCACTGGTAAAGAAACAAAATAGAGCTTTTTTCTTATTGTTATGTGTTTGTTTCACAGGAGACATTTACAAGGTAAATCATACCAATCACAAATGGGCTTCACAATAACTAATCCTCAAGCAACGTTAAGTGGAGGATCAAAATCACACCTCTTTTCTTCTTCATACTTGGATGGAATGGGTTGTGGTGACACCACAGACACTTATGTGGATATGCATTCTAACAAGTCTTTGAACTACAACCATGTGCCGCATAATACCTATCACACAAGACATCAGCACGACGTTAATTGCTCGAGACATCATCACAATCGAAGACGTAGTGCAATAGGAACAAAAACTCATGTATCTCGTTCTACAAGCAACATTCCTGGTCATCTGGAAGCTTCTATGACTTCACTGCATTCCAGTGGAAAAGACTCAGGCATTGCGGATGGATTACGTCATGATCACGGGCGTTGCATTTGTGGACATTCCACTAGTCATTCATCTGGAGACAGTAGCAAGTGAGTATATGTATTTTAATAATATTTCAGATGTACTAATATTGAGATGTCATTCATTATCAATTATATCAAAGACATTATCTTCTATAACAGAGTTTATTCTCTGAAATAAATTTAAAGGTAAAATTCTGATCTAAGAACTTAATATTTCCAAATATATCAATTGAATTTAACATTTTCATCATTGAAAATGCATCCTACATTTTTTTTCTTGAGTCTATCTTAAATGAGGATACTATAGCATCATCGGCCATTACTGTAATTTAAAATTAAGTTTGAAATATAATTGGAAGGTGTGCCTAAAGCCAAATTATTATATAGTAGAAACAGTTTCATTAAAGTTTTTGTAGGTTTTACTTAGTTTTTATCATGCAGTCATAAATTACACTTTCGAATCAAAGTTTTAAACTCTAAAAATGTAGATAAAAATTTATTATTTGCTATTTACTCGTAATCATTACTCTCTTCCAAATGTTCCCAATACAATTAGTACAATTTTGGGATCTGTATCCTCATTTTTATTTATTCTTATTCTTTCTTTACCCATTCATCTCTCAGTAGCTTTAATAATAAGTCTGCCACTTTTCCTATAATTCTTTCCTTAATTTTTTTAAAAAGATTCTTGGCTGATATAAGTCATTATTTATAACCATTCAAGATTTTCAGTTTTTTGTTCATCCATTTCTATGCATAAAGAAAATTTAGATGACAATTTTTATATTTTTTGATCTATCTTTTATTATTGTCATATGACCCTAGATGTTTCATTTTAATATCACTTGCTGCAAATTTTGAGATACTTGTTTTACATTCAGATTGATAAGAAAATTTCTTAATTGGCTGTTTTTCATCCCATCCCACATTAAGTAATACTTTAATATTTCCATCATTACATTTATTTTTTTCTAAAAGATACCAATGAACAGAAAGAATTATTTAGCACCACAGAAGTAATTTTCTTATCATTCTTTTTATTTCATTGCATTCAGACTCAGCAAGTGTATTAAATGCATGAAACTTGATAACTTTCATATTAATAGCTATGAAGATTCTCTGAAGTCAATAAACCAACAACACAGTGGTGGAAGTTCTAGTGGAAATCATCGGACGAGTTCCATGGCTCGTCGCAGTCATCTAGCCCCTTCACGACGACGACAGCGACACAATTCTGTCAGTGGAGACCTTCTTCAGATTCCTCAGACACATCAAGTTCCATCTCAGCAACAAGCAACTTCAATAGTATCCACATTAGTGCGCCGTCAGAGTGATCGACTGTCATCATGTCCAATTGCCAATTAAGACTAACTTGTGAAGTAACAGAGTGCCTGCTGTTTGGTATGATTATTTTGAATTAATTTAATGATGTTTAAGTTGGACTGATCCATTGCACCATATTTGTATATCAAAAAATAGATATAACATAAGACCAGTTTACCTTAATGTAGGAAATATTTGATAAATTCAATTCAATGAGCAGTTCTATTGCACAATCATATTTATATGCTTTGTCACTCAGAACTCAAGTTCATAACTTTCAGATATTCCTGAATCTTATCTGAATTAAATGTTTTGAGTGAAATTCTTGCAGTAAATATACTCTAATCATTATTCATGAAACAATTGTGATAAATTTCCATAAGATTGAGACTGACTGAGAAAGGATTTGACTGTCATAATTTTAGGTACAAGTAGATTGATGTCTTGTGCCAATGATTGTATGTATTTACATTATATCTGAAAATGTACATAGAATGCACTCCTACACACAGCTCATGTTAAGAAGATTTTTTGTTTTTTGATCAGTTTTCATTCTATCACAATTAAACATCATTGTTTTTTCATTTGAAAAATAAATTACATATTCTTGAAGAAATTTTCTTTTTTTATAAAATTGTAATGAGTAATAAAAAGTAAATATTTTATTTTAGAACAAAGTTTTTCTCTCAAAAGGCTTTGAGAGAAATTCTAACAACAGGTAATTTTACATTTCCATGGAAAATTTCTTCTTTTCTTCATACATTTATGGTGCTTAATTGTCAACCAATGGGAATGGGTCAAGTCTGACAAAACCATCATCATTCACAGAGAGACATATTTCATAAAGACAATGGCAATGGTGGTAGTTCATCACAGGAAATCTGTACGTTACATTCCACCAGTCACAAAGTATATGTACCTGTGAAGCCATGTATTTTATAACATTATGTAAGAACAAATATTTCTATAAAATACCTTATACTAAGGGTTACAAAGTTAAGGATGAATATTTTACAATTTTACATTGGCAGTGAATAATAGAAGTATGTTCAGAAGAACATATTTTCACGTCTTGAAATACAATTACATGCAGAACAATCTCAAGAGGATTTAGGAAAGTTAAAATATTTACTTTTAGAAATATAGTGGAGTGAATCATTCTACAGGATCTGACATAATTGGCAGTAAAAATGATGATTTCATTTGCCATCATGACATTCATGTAAGTATTGTAAATAATATATTGAATTTGTCAAATAGATTTTAAAAAAATATTCATATATGTAACAGTTTGTATGGGTATATGCATAATCAGCATTTAATCATGTCAAGCAGTTTCAAGAAGCTGTATAAACTACAGTTACTCATGGTACTGTCTTCAGTAATGACAAAGCATCAGTTATGGCATATTCAAATATCAAATCTGTAAAACTGTTTCCGAAACAGTATTATTTCTAAGGATATATACAGAATGCAGCAAAAGCAGTATTCTTGGTACAAGTAACAAGTTACCACTATTTTTTGGAATTTGAAAGTGTTCATCGTTTAAATGCTTAAGTATAGACCATTATGTATGATGTTTGTGCTCCACTCTCCTGTAAATACTACATTTTGTGCAACTGTCCGACAAGGGCCCAATTCATTTGTAATATATGTGTGTATTTTTAATTATAATAAATGCATAGATTTTTTATTTATTCGCATTATTTTACTCCCTTATGCAAATATTCCTTCACATGCTACAGTACCAAGAACATAGTATTTTACCATCATATTTGGAATTTTGTCAATAAATGAATCTTTTATACCTTTAAAATTCCTCTTTCCGATTACATTTTATTCGTTATTATTTTTAATTGATACTTTATTCACACCTACACAAAAAATATATTAAATATTTTTCTTTTGACATCAATTTTTTTTTTTTCAATAAACTGTAAGGAAAAATATAAATATTGTCTCTACAGAATATCAAGCTCACTACACAAAATATAGTATTCAATTATTGGCAGTAAATAATGAGATAAGTGCTGCAGAAGAGATGGAAGTAACACTGATTGTGTTGCTCTTTGCTCAGAAAGAAAATTGGCACAAAGCTTGGTTTCATTCCATTGACTACATAGCCACTCTGTGCACTGACATTGTGGCAATAACTGGCAAGTGATTGACATGACATGGCATGACATGACAGAGCATTCATTAATTGCAAAATAACATTAATCAATATATTATCTGATCTGAACTCCCTGTAATCAACACATTCAAAATACATAAATTAAAAATCTTTTTTGTGGTAGGTACATTACAAATATTCAAGGATGATATTTTTATGACTATAGGTCTCAATTGATTAAATATTTGGGTTGAAAGAAATAATATTTCTAGATTGCTTAATCCTGTCTTCCGGTCATGACATACTGAGGTTCAGTGTCAATAAGGTAACTTACTGTAAACATGTGCATACATGCACTATTCTAAGGATGTGTTAATAGTGAATTTCTATACCTGTAATATTTCAACTTATAGATATACTAATTACATCATCTTTAGGACTATAATAGAATAAACAGAATTATGACATTTATTTGTAATCCTTGTCAAAAAAACATTCAGTGACCATGAAGCTATATTACAGTTGATTCAGTACTTTGGTTTGAAGCAAAGTACTCAACAATACTCATGTCAAGTTTGGTTTAAGGTATCTATTTTATGCATTTAGGGCTTGAGAAACTTAATATGACAGCATATTAAATAGAGTAAAACAAATATTCTAGAATCTGGAATTATTGTTCATAAAAACAAAGTACAGACTCAATATGACAGCATTGCAAACAGAGTAACACAAACATTCGGGAATGTATATTGTTCATAAAAACAAAAACAAAAATCAGCACATATCACAAATATACTTAATACACTTCTCCCTGCATCTTATCTGATTTCAAAGATCTTTTCCACAAAATGTATCAAATAATATCTCTAAATTGCATAATATTTTCCTTCAGTCATCCTGAGGTTCAGCTTCAATGAATCATCATGTGGAGTCTTCATCAAATGGAATTACTTGACAAAAAATGTGACAAGTTCTGTGGGTACATATGAGCTATATTTTCTGGCAAAAAGTTGAAACTAACAGCCAAGAATAGGTTTTTATTGCAATGACAAGTATCTTAATTATTGTCGCAATTGGACAAAGCAGATATACTTTTATGAAAACTCTTACAATTAATAAACCATATGAAAGCCATCATATGCAAGTTTCATTATTAAATTTTAACTCTCAAAGGCTGTTTATACTAGTACTACTTGACAAGAGAAGCACTCTCAAACAGCACATTTAAATAATTGTTTTTAGTCATTTAAAAGATGTATCTGAAAATGAAAAGTGGGTAATAACATTCAACAATTAAATGAATTTTATTTTGGAACAATCTGAAAACATTCCTATTGAGAAATAATATTTTTATTTTTCAAAATAAAACCATGAAGCATAAAACAAAGAAATAGAAGAATAATCTTAAAGATATAAAATGATAGTGATGTGATATAATGACTATTCTAAATACTTTCAACTTCATTTCTTGATTGAACAATTTTAGCTAGCCAATAATGCCAACTTCACCTTGAATTGGGGCACACCAACTGCAATGCTACCCTTGAAGTAACACAAAAGCCAATAGTGCAGCACTGAGTGATAGTCATTGTTGCCATAAAGCTACATTAAGCTTTTGTTTTATTTTAGTTAGGCCACTTTACTTCAAAGTGCTGTGCGTGGTTGAACTGTTTGTACTTTTTGAGGAAAAATTAGTCAAAGTAATCCAAAACAACCTTCATTCTGAAAATTGCAATATTCAAATGGATTTTTATGCCAAAATATTTCCAGGACAAAGTGACACTTTGCCTGCACAGCTTCTAGTCTCTGACTTTCGGCCTCAATGATTTATATAAAACAACCTTGAGTTTGGCCAACACACCTAGAGTTTGTTTAACTGTTTAATGTAATGCAAACAAGTGCCCACTCATAGAAGTGAAATTCTCTTCATGGTTAGGAAATTGTTTTTTGATATTATATGTACTCTGGCACAGAATTTCTGGATGGGTGACCATCTGGGAACCCTAGTTACTGACAGCGCCAAACCCCTGGTCGAAGGAATAAAAGACATTCACTAATTGTATTGTGATGAGACAAAAAGACAAAATTTTAATGGAGGATTAGAGATTTTATGCTCAATGCCAAAAGGCTAAGGCTTAAGAGATGTGTTGCAAAAAATACACAACAAAAATAAAAAAAACAACTGAATAGATGAAAAACTAAAATCTACAAATCAACTATCAAAAAATTAGTAACATATTTTTATGCGAAGAGACATGTAGGCCTATATTTATTGCTGACTTCTCTACCTTTCCTGCAGCCCACACAAATAAAGTTGCTAAGCTACGGAACATTCAGCTTAAAATTTGTAACAAGTTTCAATATTTGAATTACATTCATATACAGTTTTTAAGCCTACCATAATATGTGTTGAACATGAACTTGCCTTTCCTACATTTGTACTTTAATGGAATTGAAATATGTATTCTAACACTTATAGTGATAGGAATATTTTGGACAGAAGAGAGAATTCTATTCATGATCCGTGAAGCACCAACCTAGCTACTTCAAGTTAGATCTATTCAACATATTTAAAATTGTCTAGTGGGAAACAAATGTCAAATATCATTTAAAGATATGTATAGTTTATAGACATTGGAAAGAATGGAGAAGAAAAATTATGATTTCTTCCGTTATCACTATTTCAAATTCCATTCATTTAACCATATACAATTAAATCTTCATTTTAACAAGCTTTTCTTTTAAAATTCTACAAATATTGGGCACAATTTTATAGAATAAAGAAGAAAACAAAAAAGAAATAGAAGAAATGTTACCTTTAAGTTTTCTTCTGTAATCATTTATAAACTTACCACTTTTTCTAGCCTAACATTGTTTAAGATTTCTTTGCTCACTAAACTCAATGACATAATAACTTCCATTTAATAAGTAGAGAAATGTAAACAAAACTAGAAAGAGTTGGTCTGTAAATTTCATTTGAAAAACTACTGTACAGGACATAAATTGGCACCCAAAATTTAGTAATTAATTAGGGTAAAATCAAAAGAGTTTTTCTAGTCAAATATGTACCAATAACCTTTTAAAAAACTGCTCCAAAAAAGATTGTTTAAGATATTTCTTGTTCAAAAATGGAAATGAATGAAACAATTGGGAATTTGATGAAAATTGCAGTTGTTAAAAGTTTAAATAAAGACTGTAAAATGGACTGCCGCAATGAAAAAGACATGAGAAATGCGGGAATAATACAACTTAAAGTAGAAAATAGAAATGTTTTTAGGCAGAAAATTCACAACTGGAAAGTTGGCAAATGAAAAAGTTTTAGAAAACTAGGGCCACTTAGTCCAATAAAAAAAAAAAAAAGAGCCCTGAGAGAATAAAAGCAACAAAGAAAGATAAAGAAATACAGCAATAGAATACATTTGTTGAATAATTTCAAAAAATAATGCAAAGAACAATATTAAGTGAAATCAGGTTCAATTTCAGGATTTTCAGGACAATAGAAAAGGATCTTGTTCTTTGAGTTTTGAATTTTTTCTCTCAAATTTGAATACTTTTCATTTAGTTTCATGAAAATCATTGATAACTTCACAATCAGAGCAACATTCTGTTAAGTTTGTCAAAAGATCAGCAATGACTACTTTCTAGAAAGATGAGGTAAGTCTGCAAAGCAAGGAATGTAACATAAGAGCAGCAATGAGAACTCTCTAGAAATTGCAGATATATTCATAAAGAGGTTTGCATTGAAAGAGAACAATAATGGAGTGTTTTACAAAAAACAAGACTAGTGTTGCAACAGAATAGCACAGTCTTTCTCACATTAGTGTTATTACAGTTAGTTTTCTAATCTCTTCAGTCAGAACTAGCTTTTCAGAATTGCCCCACACTCTTCCCTACTGCCATCAGTGTCTAAAACATTTTTTTCACATTTTCTCAATGTTTTTGGTCCTTTAAGAATAGAATTGAAATATGACTTTAAAAATATTAAAGATGTGTAAAACATGGTCATATATGCAAATCTTTGTGGAAGCTATTTTTGAGAAAATGTCATTGGAGCATTTCCATAATATTAAAATATGCGCACAAAAAAATTAAACTTTTGTAATGTTTGAATATTCAGAGAAATGAATGGAAATACAGAACCATGCCATTTTTATAAGGATACTTTGATAAAAACATTTTGAGCCATTTTTGAGAAAAAATTGTAAGTGACCTTGAGGCTTCAAAAAATGAAAATATCTATTTGAAATTCAAGAGCCATGACATCGGAAGATTGATGGAGAAATTCCATTTTGGTGAAAATCCTGCTCATGGTTTAGAGCAGACATTAGCATTGTTCACAAATGGACAGATGTTTATCATAAACCATGTTTTTGGTATCATGAACCCACAAAACAAGGATTTTTCACAATTTTCTATTTGCTTCATTAAATTGCATACACTTCCCACTTAAAGTTATTATAACTAAGCAATTCCTAGGCATTTTAGGATCCCCTGGGTTCCCTAAACTTCTCCTTGGAACCAAGAAGTTCCTTTTATGCATTTAATAACAGGAATGCTAAATTGTTTCATTGTACTTTACAAATTGTGTGTACAGCTTAATGGAGCTTCCAAGAGCAATTAACGACATAAGTCAGTAAATCAACTCAAGACGTGATTCCTAACGTCTTGAGGGACTGTGGATCTTGGCGTAGCCTCCAAGGTTACAACCACTCATTAGAAGGGATTCTGGAGTTTTGGGCTCTTCATGAAGTTGAGCTGCCAAGGTACCAAGAATAACTGGTTGGTATTATACCAACTTTTCCTTCCCTGCTTACGGACGACTAGACCCACCCTCGCGGTGGACGGTCACATTGACTAAGAGGAACCCTTTCCGACTTTTTAATATCAAGTCAGCAATAGAGAAATATCCCTTCAGCAATAGAGAAAGTGCCACCAAAGTGTCTGATTTAGAAGCATCTTCCCCTCTACGAAGTTCTTGATCTCATCGTGACACTTTGTTCTTGCTGGCTTCATAAAAATGCACTGATCAAGGGTGTGTTTCATGGTTTCTACCTCTGTATTTCACTTCTTCAGTATACATCCTTTCTGGGCCTTTCTCCACTAAGAGTAATTTTATTGGCAGCGGTACTTGATATCATTTGCAGTGCAGTGATAAAAAGACCAGTTTTCAGAAGATTATAATCTTTCAAAAATGCATTTCTAATCAGATCGTTTATATGTGCCTTAACTGTCCCTCTCCCTAGTGATCTCAGCTTTTCCCAGGTGGCTACCTCGTCATCGCCACATTTCTTTTTATAAGCCCTTAAATCTTGTTCAGTGTAGGACCAGTTGAGTCTCTGAAATTTGGCTGTCTTTACTGTCCATTGGTAGAAACTTGGACAGGAGCTCAGCCATCTGCAAATAGGATCTGCAGATTTTTATAATCGTAATCCTCAGTTTAGAGATCCCCTGGAACATGTTGGGTGAATCACAGTAATCTCAATCTTCCATCCCTCTAGGCCAGGTAGAATAAGCCATCTGCAGAACTAGTATGCAGGTGTATGAACTGTTTATCTGCCATTCTGATTTGATCGTCTGCTTCACTGAGAATCAACGTAATGGCATCAATAAAATCAATTGGTAGAGGTAATGTCACATTATGAAAGTATGAAGTAATGGCAACTTCTCAGTGAGTTTTAAATGCACTTTCTGAAGCCTCATGACTACTTCTTCACACAATGATTAGAGAAAACAATTTACTACATGTAGGAATGACAATTATCCACTCTTTGCATATCATCAGGGACAACCTCCTTTTTCTTTTTTAAAATTACTATGTGTAAAGTACACCATTAAGTACAAATTGTAGTTTTCTTGTGTCTGAAATTAATTTACCTTTTTCATAAGAAAAATATATACCTACTTATATTTTCTACCTTCTTAATTAAATCAATGAAAATTAATACGATCATAAACAATACAATATTGGACAATATTGGATGGCATTTCCTTTTTGAAATCAGAACACGTTTCAAATTTATGCGAATTTCAATTTTCATTGTCACCAAGAGTTAAACTGATATTAGTTTTTGGTTTGGTCTTATTATAAAATTTCTTTTTGGCTATACATTTTTTTCTTTCTGTAGAGTTCAGTAATATCTTTAGTGGTTTTGCGGTCAATGATAGTTGATAAGGACTTCAGGGGAATATTTTGGTGCCTATAGAAAATGATCCATCACTAGTGAAACTTTCTGAGGTTTGATCCGAGTCCAAGATGACAGTGGGGATGCTGAGGATCAAACCAAATTTGAGAGTTCAATATTCCCAGCTGAAAAAATACATTTCTCCTTTTAATTTATTTCAAAATTAGTAATCCATTTCTAAGTTCTCCCACTGACAAGGCAACATTTCAGAAGTCAGAAAAAGAATGTGCTTATTTTTCTCATTCTAGTAACCATATATGTGATCATATGTTGTTTTTTTTATATTCACTTCATCCATAGTAAAAACATTGGTTGTTCACTTTCTTTTTCAATTTTTGAGTGTTAACCATAGAGAAAAAAGTCAATTTGCTCTTGTGTGGGTACATTAGATAAGTCTTTTGGTACATTACCTCACAATTAATGCTGAGGACAGCAAATGAAAGAAGACTAAAGGCAAGAATAAGTATCAAGTGTCTTGGGAAGGAAGCATTGGCAGGGAAAAAACTAACAAAATTAGGAAGAATAGGACAGTACAACTGCTTACCTTTCGTTACATGGTTCTAGCCATTACAATTATAAGAATTCACATTTGACCAACTTCTTATTTGCAATGAAAGTAAATATAAAACACATTTTAATAATTTATGAATTTATAGTTAATAACCGTCTTACAATTTATTTGTAAGTATTTGCATATGCAATTTCAAAAATGATACCACAATCTTTGATTACAAACGAAGAAGAAAAGTATGTTTTCTTGTGAAAACACTATTGATGAGCTTCCAAGAGAAACTACTTGAGAAAATAGTTTATTTCATACACAGATATTTATTCCTTCTATTATTGACAAAACTTTCGAAGTGACAAAATCAACTGCAGAGAAAGATTTTTAAATGTAACTGACAAATGAAAGAAACACAAAGTTAGACAAATTTATCATTAAACAAAACAGTTATGCTATCTTCCTAGCATTGCTCACATCGGCCTTCTCATCCCTCTTTCAGGCATTTCTTCACGTGCTGATGGGTTTTTCACAGTTTCATCAACTGATAAGATGGTACTTGCTGCTTCACAAGCTGCAGACAGACAATTTATTTTCACTGCAGCAGGCTCCCATACACAGGCTTCGTAATTATCAGCAACGTCCTCAGTATTTAGATCAACTCCATACCATATTTTTCCCATTGAATGTTTCTGGCGTAATTTATTAAGAATATTTGTGGCATCAAATCCTGCATTGATACATAACTGTCTTGGTATAACTTCCAAAGATTTAGCAACTGCTCCAATTAGCAATTGTTCTTTTCCTTCAATTGAACGAGAATAATCTCTCAAAGCACGACTCAATTCCATTTCTATTGCTCCTCCTCCAGCCACAATTGCATCATTTTTAATAGTGCGGCGAACAACCATTATAGCATCATGAATTGATCTCTCCATTTCATCCATAATTTGTTGTGCTGCTCCTCGGAGAATAATTGTACATGTTTTTGCTTGGGGACAACCAGTAAAAATATTATATCTTTCATTTCCTACTTGTCTTTCTTCGAAAGTTTTGCAGCTGCCTAAGTTCAGATCTGAAATATCTTGCACAACAGATACCAATGATCCACCACAAGCTTTCAGTGTTCGATCCATGTCTTCATCTGGCACTCGCCCAGCACAAAATACATTTCTATCTGCAAAATACTGAGTTGCTACATCACCAATTGGTAATTTAGAAAGGACTACTTGGGCTCCACTTTTAATAATTAAATCTAGTTTAATGTAAAGGATTTTCCACTCAGCATCAACAATTTTTTGGTATTCATGAACATCAGAAATTCTTATTTCAGCATTATCTTTTTCTGCTTTCAATTCAAGTTCTATATTTAAAATAGCAATTTTGAGGTTACTGTATCGCTTTGGTTGCATCTCAAATCCTGCATATGAGAAAGTCTTTTTAAACGCCACTCCAGCTACAAGAAGGGAATCCTCCAATGCGCCACCTAATACTTTTTTTATTCCTATCATTTTCTGACCTAAAGTCTCGTCCAACATTAGAACAGCATCAACAACCATTTTCCCAAAAAAATTTTTTTGGTGACTTATTAATTTTGAACCAAGTGCTGTCATGGCACATTTTTCTAGTAGATTTCGGAATTCCTTTTCCTTATCCTTGTCTTCAATTCTTATTGAAATAGATTTAATTTTTTCAATAGCAAAATTGGTTGCTTGTCGAAGGGACTTCATAACAAAACGTGGATGCACTCCTTCCTCTATGAATGATTTGAGGTTTTTGAGGTACTCTCCCGTAAGAAGAACCACCGAAGTAGTTCCATCTCCTACTTCAGCATCTTGAGATTTAGCAACGTTTACCAATATTTCAGCTGCGGGATGACAGACATCTAATGCTTTAAGAATACAAGCTCCATCATTTGATATAGTGGTTTTACCTACTTCATTTACAATCAACTTATCCATTCCCCGAGGACCAAGAGTTGTTCGCACAGCATCCAAAAGAGATTGGCATACATTTATGTTAGAGATCAATTGCTCTTTTCCTTGAGAATTTTCAACACCTTCCTTCAAAAGAATTATACTAGGAAACATAATGTTATTGTAAGATTACTCACAGAAAATAAACGTTTCCCGTAAAAAATATTTTTCAGTAAGTTCAGTAATGGTCACACTTCTACCACAACACTTTCGAACGATGTTTTGTGTATTGTTTTACATAGAAGGCGGTGACAGTAACAATGAAATGTCGCTGTTCTTGCAGCGCCCTAGTATTTCAGAGGGCGTTGGTTCGTGTTTCTGGATGTTTCACTATTTTTCTCACAAAAACACGAACAAGAATTGTTCTAAGAAGCCTAAAACTAGTATGTTTGTTACCTTCATTCAAAATTTGGGCAATAATAATATATGGTGCATTGTGGAAATCTTATCTATCGACTAAATATGTTTCCCCTATGGTACAAGTACCTGTTTCAAAGGTTAACTGTATTATATCTCTCCAGCCAATGTAATTAAGAAGAAAATCAAAAACAAATCTTCCCTCGAAGTAGAAGGTCCAGAACTGGTTCAGAACACGTGACTTCTAGTAGTTCGTAAGGCAGCACCGTCGACTCTGAGAATCCATGGTGAAAATAACATTGTGATATTTCCGTCGTGCTAGAAGTCGTGAGCTTAAGGATTAAACACAACATAAGTGTCGATTTTCTTTTAAAATGTGATCATTCTTCGTTGGACCAGAAGAGACAGTAAGCTTTTTTTAGGTGCCTTACTGTTCTCAAAAGTCAGGAATGTAAAATTATAGTACCTTAGAACAAAGTAGGACAAAGTAGATTTCTGCTAAGCAAGAACAGTTAGATGTTTACTTTAAGTCAATAGTAGGTTATAGGTTCCGCCCATCATAATTCGCAACTCGCCTAAACAAACATTTCCGATGCCCATTTTAGCCTTAAATAATACTGCATACAAGCAAGCAGAATGCCTGAAAGTAAAATAAGAGTCGTTAATAATAAAATCCGGCGGCGGCGGAGACTGTCGCTACTGCCAATTGTTACCGGCTCGGTGTTGTTAAAACGACAGTGGACAATTCGTTTGGCATATACTACATTTTACAACCCAGTAACCTTGATAGCGCTGGCAAGCAAATGCCAATATCTATTAATAATTTTTAAATATATAATATTGTAATATTCTTCAAATCTGCTTGTTTTAACACGAATTACGTTACTCTCTTAATCTGATCTTGCTAAATGCTCTATATAATGCGTCTTTTTACTTCAGAAAAATCTCTCAAAACTCGCGAGAACTACTTATATTTCAACTGGTAACGTAATATTGCAATATCGCAATTTCTATCCATAATAAGACATCCCAGAAATTAATCGTGAAACTCAGTATAAATAGACGAATAAACGCTCGTTTCCATGTATATTGGGAATAGTGTAACTTTATTTACTTGTTGTTAAGTCCCTTATTTTAAATTATGGACAACCACAATGATAAGTGAATAAAATTATTATGTGAAACATTTTTTGGCACTTATCATTGTGGTTGTCCATAATTTAAAATAAGGGACTAAACAACAAGTAAATAAAATTATATTGTGACAACTATTTTAAAACTTAATCTTAACAGTTGTATATGGAAACTTGTATATGGATTCTAGAATTCAAGAAAACGTGCTAATAATACATTTCTCTCCATAATTTCATTTCTCCCATAATTAAAACAAGAACTTCGTATTCATTCCATCCACGTCGACCCACCAACAGTGAGAAGAATTCTAAGAATTACAAACAGACAGCTCGTCGATCATAATGGGATATATTGGATGACATGTATTTCTGGATGCTCAATTCATTTGTGAAATTATCCTTGCTTGCTTGTATGTACTTATTTAAAAGTTTTGATTTATAGGAAAATTAAAATTTGAGAATAAATTTAGAATATCTTGGAGACGAAGCGAAAAATAACTATTATGGTTTACTAGTTTATTGCTGCCTGTTTACGAACTTGAAACAAACCACGTAACGGCATTGTTAATACCCGTGCAGGCCTTTCTGATTCTTTATGCTAGCGTGGGCTTTTTGAATACTCTTTACCCGTTCTAATACCAACACATCAAATACAACATTTTTAAGAATGCAATTTATTGAAGTTAAGATTAAAGAAAATACAATAAACAAAAGGCATAATGCTCAAATACGTAAAATAACTCGTTATAAACCTTATTTTGTTTAACTGATACGCGGTATAATATTATTACATAACCGTTACTAACGAGCGAGAAAGTAAGTAAGATTTAATACCACTAGTTTCTTGACACAACCAGTTCTTTTAACGACAGATCTTCAAATAAGATCATGTACTACAATTTAATTTTGTCATCTGTTCTGCTCTGCCCAATCTCACCATGTCCCTCTCGCCCATCTGCATCTGGTCCCTCCTCACCCAACCACAAAGATTATCGTTAGTCTGTCCTGTCATGTGAGAGGTCTTTTAGCACTCGTTGATGCCAAACAAATTTGGAGTGCGTGGTTGGTGAGCGAGTTGTAGAAATGATTCATATTCGTTTCGCAGACGTAGGCTAACTTGTTCTGGAGCTGATGAAATCCGTTATTTAGAGTCCTGAAGCTGTTGAAATTCGGTATTTATGGCCCTGGAGCTGTTGAAATTCGGTATTTAGAGTCCTAGAGCTGTATAAATTCAGTATTCATTGCCTGACCTCATATCTGTTTGAATTGAATTGAATTGAATTAATGCCTTATTTTACGTGGCGAGACTCAGGCCATTAGGCCTGCTCTTCCGTCTGACCACGCAAATTTCGCTACGCTCCCTTCACCAACTTGCAGAGAAAGGAGGTATTTCTTGGGCGAGAAACAGGCGATTTGAATTTGGCTCAGAGGCGTCATTTAGGCTTGAGGATCTTTTACATGCAAGTAAATCTACTAACATGGGACAGCCGGCTTTACTTCCCCTCCGAAGGAAAGCGTACGAAGGATTTTTTTCGCTCTTTTCTGTTTGGTGTATTAATTCCCACGCGCACAAATTCTCAACTTCTTTTCGACATGATTTGGATCCTGTCTTACAATATTCTTTTATAAAAATTAGTGGTGATATCGTAACAGTCTAAACGTAGGCGTGCGTAGCCTAAAACGTCAGCCAACTTCATTTCTAGGCCACATGATTACCAAGCTGTTTACTTACATATGATATATTTTGCTAGTAAATAAATAAAACATACTAAAAGGAGAATTAAATTATAAGTGAAATAATGTAATTATTACATATAAATGATTTTATGTTGAACCATTTATAAATTTGCCTGATGTCGTAAAGAGCTTCTCCAACAAACGTCGTATAACAACTTCCCGTGTTCAAAATAGGAAATCATGAATTTAACATATTTAAACGTGAACATATGCAAACATTTATTTTGAAATCACGGATACTAATTTTATTTATATAAATGGTGTTGAGCGAACTTAGTCTAGATTAGCCAATAATATGAAAAATTACTACCAGGATTTATAGTGGTTAATAAAGTACATTTATAGTGGTTAATAATGTACTACCATTATGATTACTTCATATACATGCTGGTACGCACTGATCTATTTTGTATATACAAAGAGTGAAAAAACAATTTATACACACTACAAGCAAATACAAAAATGTCTTATCATAACAAAGTTGAAATCAAACAAACAGAAAATTATGTGCACTAACCATTTTGGACTTTTACTGGCACAATTCTTACAACAGGTGCTCCAAATGTTACTATCTGCGTCGATACACTTCTGCGTAGTTGAACTACTGTTCAGACAAAATTTGCGAAAGTGTCTTCAGAGATTGCAGCACATACTGTTTCAATGTATTCCCAATGTGCTCCCAGTGTTGGTTTTCTAAGTTTTTAGACTTTGGGAATAAATTGAAACGGTTTGAGCTGCAATAGCTGAGGACACTTTCGCAAACATTTTGCGCAGAAGTTCAACTCAGATGTCTATCGGCACAAATAGCGGGCATTTGGGGAATCTACTGAAACGGTTGTACCTGTAAAGTATAAGATGGTTAGTACTCATCACTTTCTGTTCGTCTGAATTCAGCCTTGATATATTAAGACCGTTTTATATTCACTTAGAGGGTGTATACATTTTTTGGCACGATCTATATTGCAATGAGTCATTCAGACTCACTGCACAGCTCGGCTCTCGCGTCACGCTGAATCAACATATTTCTAGGCAAAGAGTGCATCTTTGCACATTCGCCACGCGCAGCTGCGTGCGCGCCGCGAACCGAGAATTTCACAGCCAGCGTCCGTCCCCGAAAGGTACCATTCCATCCCTTTGTATAGCAGTAGGTGACGGACAACCAAAACTGTTACATTAAGAGGCGAGAACAGCCCACCATAAATGACTAAGCGACTATAAATCACATGCCAAAGAAGACTAGCCCATGGGACGCTTCGCGACGTGATAGGTCGGGCACTTTTCGAGAGGGGTAGGGACGGAAAATCGCAGGAGCGCAAGGCGCTAGAGGGTGGCCACACTTAGAAAAAGACTGTTGAGGCGACCGGTTGGCTCAGGGAGGTTGGCTTCTCTCTCCGAGATTCAACGACAATTATAGCTATACGGAAGCCAGTCTATAGTCTTCAGCCATTATCTTCCCGCATCGGAATGCAGTCCGGATGCCGGTCTAGAACGGTTAGCGTAACACCCACAAAGTACACAACAGGGTGCGCAGCTTAAATATTCGGCTGCCAAACATAATACGTGGTCCAGGCGACGTATGACGACCTGTGACCCGCGCACCGAAAGTCGCTGTTCCGATCCCGCAGACGGCCGTGGAAGATCTCCTGCCCAGCCAGGTGACGTGTTCCTGCCAACTACAGATGTCCATGGTTCTCCAACGGGTCATCTGCTGCCATCGGCCTATATCTGACGTGTAATTCTTCGGAGTGACGTATCAGAAATTAATTCATCCATTCCCGTAAGTGTTAACTTTCAACTAGTTAATAGCCAGAGTAAAGCCCTAAAGGTAATATTATGTAAAAGAGGACTTACTATACCAATAAACGTGTCCCCGCCATTTTGGTCGGG